CTGCTCATTGTCCAATATTCGTATGTATTCAATATTTTTCAACTGCCAGTGGTCTGCGTTCGGGTATTTTGTCTTGTAAAATATATTTTAATTTGTAAATGCAAGGAACCTGACTGTTCACAATTGCTGGAGTGTTCAATTGAATGCACATTCGTCATCACACAGATAGGATAGCTTCATACAAAGCCAAAGTCGAGATGAGATAGGAACCAGAAAACGCAGCTCATATTATCAAAGTCTTATTATACAAGAGTATCTTGAGTTCAAAGTTCAACGCCAACAAACTGCAAGTCTTCTTCTCTCGGTCATCGTCACAGGACCTGGATCAGCCAGCATCACTCTTCAACTCACAAGTATAGCGCAAACAGGTATGTAATCACCATATCCCACTTTGTAGCCTGTCTTCTCTCTCCCTGTATTCTCCCTCAAGATCTCTGTAGCAGTTCTCTTCTCACTATGCATGCACACTCCTTATCTGCGAGGATCTACTCTGAATGCCTCCCACTGATATCCTACTACTAACCCCGCTACTTCTACTTACTACTAACTCAGGCTGGCGCAGCTATGGCTTCCCTGCAGCCAGCGGCCAGCTCATCTCCCTTCTGGCGCAGCTTCTCCTGCCAGCGCCCCTCCCTGCATTCTAGCGCACAGGTGCCTCAGCACTTCCACGCAGCAATGCCAATGGGAATCCATCTGGTGGGGAGGCTGCCTCGTCCTTTATAGTGTTGGCCTCCCCTTGCGAGGGCTGAATTCAGCCTGTCTTGGGTCCTGTCCCAGTCCCAGCCTCTGTGGAGTGTGTCCCAGTACCTTTTTCTCCAGGGTCTGCTGCTGCTGCGGCCTTTAGGCCTGAATTTCGGACTTGGGGCCTGCATGTAGACCCTTCTTCTGACTTAATTCGTGACTGGGACTTTATCCCTTTGACTTCCTTTGGACAAACACATCTACTGCTCGAACAAACACATTCTGCACGAACAGGCACACATACTGCACGAACAGACACATCTCTTGTATGAACAGACATGACTTGCACATCCCCTGGATGAACAATGTGACTCCCATATGCAACTGTTCGTCCAGGGGCACAACTGTGACCTTTGACATTGACTTTTACTTAGTTAGGATGTGACTTTTGACCCAGAGAGCATGTCCTTTGATCTGCTTTCACGAGTTGGGGCTCTGGGCGAGTAACCCCATTATGCTRAATTTGCCAAACAGGGGCTGAATCGGGTAAAGRCCCTTTTACTCTCGCCGGCCTAGTTTCGAGGTCCTCTGAGAAAACCTTTATCTATCTATAATACTTATTCCTCTTCTTTCTCTTTCATAAGCAAATACAATATGAGGCACAAACTCAGTTAATTCCTCTYTTGTGAACCAGCGATCTTCACTTGGGTCCTGATATGCAAATCTTACTTTATATTGTCGCTGGGGTCTGCCTCTGCATCCAGTTTGGAGAGTGCTTTCAGCAACAATCTTATCCACGTCATATTTCCCATCCATACTAGGAGGTATCGCCGCTCTGCGACTTGGAAACAACTCATTGGTCACGCAAGGTAAGAGTTTTGAGGCGTGGAATACTGTATAAGTATGCAAATGTAGAGGAATTTCAATCACATAGGAAGGTCCATCTACATCTCCAATCACATCTAAAAGTTGCCAAGGTCCTCTATAGGCGGGTAGTAACTTCTGAGAGATGTTCTCTTAAGGGACAAACTCCTTAGACTTCACCCATACTAGATCACCTACAGCAAATAGAGAGATGTCCACCTACATCTTCAATGTGATGTTTAATTGGTCGTTCCACCACACCACTTGGGGCCTCTGCCACAGCTGATCACCACCCTAAGACATCTTGCTTCTGCTTGAGAGAGAGAGAGTTTTATGCTCTCTCTCGCCAGTACGACCATGAGCGTYTGTTCATAGCTCTGGTCAAGCAGACAGACGCTCCTACTACTCCCTGTCCTCCTTAGGTACAACAGGTTGTGGACAAGTACGCCGATCTGATGCAGGAGCCCTTTGGGTTACCCAACCGGCCAACCAAACATTATATTGAGCTGCTTCCTGGAGCGGTCCCTCCCAAGGGCCGCATCTACAGGATGTCACCTGCTGAGCTCGAGGAGCTCAGGCGACACCTTGAAACCCTGACCAGCAAGGGCTGGATAAGGCCCAACACTTCTGAGTTCGGTGCTTCAATCCTCTTTGTTCCAAAGGGGAGTGGTGAATTCAGAATGTACATAGATTACAGGGGTCTCAACAAAATCACTAGGAAGAGTACAGAGTCACTTCCTAGGATCGATGACCTGCTGGATATGGTCCAGGGCTGCACAATCTTTAGCAAAGTCGACCTCAAATCTGGCTATCACCAGATTGAGATGGCAGAGGAGGACGTCCACAAGACGGCCTTCAAAACTAGGTATGGTACTTATGAGTACCTGGTGATGCCATTTGGACTCTGCAATGCACCTGGTACATTCCAGACTGAGATGCACCGCATATTCAGGCCGTACCTGGATAAGTTTATGGTTGTCTACCTGGATGATATCCTAGTATTCAGCAAAACTACCAGGGAACATGCGGAGCACCTGGCTCTAGTCCTTCAGTCGTTACGTGACAGCCAATACAAGATCAACAGGGAGAAATCCTCTTTTGGAGTTCCCTCTGTTATCTACCTGGGTCATGTAATCTCTGGAGATGGTTTGGCCCCTGAAGCAGCCAAGGTTGCTGCTATTCAGGATAGGCCACAACCTCAGACAGTGAGAGATGTCCGGTCATTCTTGGGTCTGGCCTCCTACTACAGAAAGTTCGTCAGGAACTTTTCTGCAGTGGCTGCACCCCTGACTAACCTTACAAAGAAAGACACTCCCTTTCTTTGGTCCCTCCACTGTCACATGGCCTTTGCGCGACTCAAACAGGCCTTGACTCGTGCACCTGTGCTGAAGCTGCCTGACCCCACTTTGCCTTTTGTACTGACTACTGATGCTAGCCAGTATGGCATTGGGGCAGTTCTTCAGCAGGATGATGGGAATGGTCTCAGACCTGTAGAGTTCATGAGTAAGAAGATTAAGACTCAGAAGTTGCAGGACTCCACCTACGAGAAAGAGCTTTATGCTCTTGTCAGTGCCCTGAAACACTGGAAACACTTTGTCCTGGGCAGGCACTTCAAGATCTTTTCTGATCATTCCACTTTGTAGTGGTTGAAGTCCCAGGGAGAGTTAAATGATAAGTTGGCACGATATATTCAGTTCATTGATCTATTTGACTTTCAACTGAAGCATAAGAAGGGCTGCTACAATAAGGTAGCAGACGCCCTCTCTCGTAGGCCTGACTCCTTTGCCTTGATCTCCTCTACTCACTCCTTTGGAGAGGAGGTCCATCAGACCATTGCTCGTTCTCTGCCTCAGGATCCGACTTATGGAACCATCATCAGGTATCTGCAAGCAGATCCCAATTTTGAACCAGGTTATGCCCTGAGTTCAGATCTGCTGTACACTTACAGCAGAGGAGAGGAGCGCTTGTGCATCCCTGAGGATCAGCAGCTGCGGACACTGCTGATGTCAGAGTGCCACGATGCGCGTGGACACTTTGGGTTCCTAAAGTCGTATGCAGACCCTGTCGCAGCGCTTCTTCTGGAAGGAGATGTGGAGTGATATGTTGCGCTATGTGGACACCTGTGAGCTCTACCAAAGGAACTAGGTTCAGCGAAAACCTCCTTTGGGATTGCTCAAACCTTTGCCCATACCTGATGGTCGTGCCCAATCTGTCTCTATTGAATTCACAGACTTAGGCAAGACCAGCCCTCGTGGCATGCGTCAGGTTATGGTCTGTGTGGACAGGTTCTCCAAATACGCAGAGTTCATCCCCTTGCCAGAGGTAGCCTGAGTACCGGCTGTAAGAGCAGCCTTCTCTGAGAGGTGGGTCACTCACCATGGACCGCCCACTTCGATTGTTAGTGACAGAGACCCCAGATTTTGCAGCGATGAGTGGCAGTCCTACTGTAAGGACTATCTGGGGAGGTCACAGGGCGCAGTAGCTGGAACAGGACTTGGTTTCATCACTTCAGCCAATCCATTGGCTTCAGGATGACGTCCAGAGGTCATGTCCAGGCGTGAGT